ATACTGGGACCGGTTTCTCCACCGACTCCCCAACACTGTTCTTCCCGGTCTGGCTGTTTGGTGACAGCACCCAGTGGGTGGGCAGTGGAGTCTTACCGTGGTTTTGGTCTGCATGTCTGCAACGGTTGAAATAAGCTTCTCAGGTCCATGTCGGACATCTCTGTGTCCTTTCAGAGAAGCATCTACTCCGGTCATTTCTGGGTCACGTTGTGTTTGCTCACTGAGTTCTAGGATTCTCTTTGTATTCTGGAAATCAGCCCCTAATTAGATGGATACGTGACTTGCAAACAGTCTCTCCCATTCTGCAGAATGACTTTCCTTTCTGCTGATGGCATCTCTTGATGCAGAAAAGTTTTAAATTTTGATGAAGTCTGATTTATCTCTTTCTTTCTTGTGTTGATTTTACTTTTGCTGTCACAGTACTTGTCAGGGGCCAGACTCACAGGCAGAAATGGGTCTGGCAATAAAAGGGCAACAGGAGGGCTCCTTGTATCGACAGTGCTGTCGCATATCCTTTTTTTTTTTTTTTTTTTTTAAAGACAGAGAGGGAGGGAGAATGCCTGAGTGATGAGTGAGGGGCAGAGGGAGAGGGAGAAAGAATCACAAGCAGGTTCCATGCCCAGCACAGAGCCCGACATGGGGTTCGATCCCATGACCTGAGCTGAAACCAAGAATCAGACATGTAACTGACATGCCCCCCCAAAGTGCTGTCCTGTATCTTCTCTGTAATAACGTTGACATCCTGGCTGTGATATGGCACTAGAGATCTGCAAGATGTTACTAGTGGTGGGAACTGGGTGAAGGGTCTTTACTATGACTGACAATTGCATGTGACTGTACCATTATCTCAAAATTTTAATTAAAAGTGTATACATAATCAAAATAAAAACAGCTCTGAGGCAGGCCTAAGTGAGGGCCATGTACCAGATGGCAGCCCCACACAAGGAAGGTAACTCCAGGTGACCCTTGGGCGATCTGGGTGTGAACTGCACGTGTTCACCTGTATGCACGTCTTTGGGTAAATACAGTGCAATGTCATAGATATATTTTCTCTTCCCTGTGATTTCCTTAATATTTTTTCTCCACTTTATTGTAAAAATACAGCATGTGACACACAAAATGTGTGTTAATCGATGGTTATCAGTAAGGCTCCCAGTCAGCAGGCAGCTGTTAGTAGGTAAGTTCTTGGGTGGCCAGAAGTTATCTGTGGCTTTGCATCTGCGCTGCAGTCAGTGCTCCCCACCCCCATGTGCCCAAGGGTCAACCGCAGCAGAGTACGGCACTCGGCCTGGCGGGCTGCAGACTGCGGGCGAGCAGGGGCGAGCTATGGCAGGCCAGGGCTGGGAGACTGCTCAAGAGAAGGAGGCCTGAGGAAAGAAGGAAACTGGGGATAATGACAATGAGGTTTCTCATTCCTGAAGAAGGGAGTTATAAACCCAATAATGGGAAAAGCCAGGATGATGGTATAGTGATGGATGAGAATGGGAAGTACCAATACGAACTCAGAGTTTCCACCACATGGAAACAAATACACGTGTAAGCAGGCAGGTATCTGTGCACGCTTACCAACACACACTTCCTAGCTCTGTCCCCGGGGAGTAGGGCAACTGCAGCGTCCTTGCAGCAGCGAGCAAATTTTGGTTTCCCCACTGAAAGGACCAGAGCTCCTTGCAGATGGAGGCGACTTCAGGGCTAGGACAGGGAAAGGACAGGGAGCTGGGCCAGGAAGCAGGCACACAGAGATGGCTCTGCCGCGAGGGGCTCTTCAGGGCCAAGTGTGGGACAGCAGAACATGAAAACAAATGACAGTAACTGATCCATTTCCCTGACCAGAACACGAATCCACACTGCAATGGAGAAACAACCGGACCCAGAAAGGGGAGGAGAAAGTTCCTCCCTATAGGAATGCGCCGGCTGAGACACACAGAAGCAAGGCCAGGATCAGGAACCCCCCACTTCATTATCTACCATCAGGATGGTTAATTCAGGAGGAGCCTCAAAGTGCCAAGCAAGAGCTGGACAAAGCGGGGTGGTGACACTCTCCAAGACCTTGCCACAAAACAGGAGCTGTGAGCGAGAAAGCACTACTCATAACGCAAAAATCTCAGCAGACACCACTGTCCCGAGTGATCAAACTTAACGCCTCCAGGGACCGTCTGGGTCTCCCGATGGGATGCAGTGAGATCACTTCTGGGATGTTTCTGCCAAAAATGCATGATCTTAATGTTACTACAATGTAACAGCAGACAAATGACAAGTGAGCAACATGCTGCAACAGAACTGGCCTGGAATTTTCCTGAAGGTCAAGAGAGAACCAGCAGCGTCTGATCACTGAAAGGAACTGAAAAAACATGACCAGTGTCCTCTTGCTATTAAAGGATATTATTGGGACAGTTTATAAAACTTGAATGAGGGTCTCTGGGTGAACAGCATATGGGAAATTTTTTAATGCTTTTCTGTGAGTTTGAAATTATTTCAAAAGAACTAACGTCACAAGAGAGACAACCGGACATCACGGGCATTCTGATGGAAGAATATAGACCTTTCATCAAATATGGTTGCAAGTAAAGAAAACTTGATTAGACTCTATGTCCCTCTGCCAGTTCAGTTTATAGGAAACAACGTGTGAATATAATCAACAAAATACAGATTGCGGCAAACTCCATAGGGCAAAAAACCCCTGGTTTCTTCAACAAATAAATTGAAGGAAAGAGTGAGAAACCCTCATGCAAGAGAGATGTAAGATACACACCAACCAATTCTAAAATACTGACTTCTATTGGGGCCTGATGTGAACAAAAATACACACATCTACGAGACAGAAATTTGCGTAATGTTTAGATACTGATAATGCTGAGCAATTGTTAAATTTTTTAAATTATGGTAATGGTGATATGGTTAAGGAATGAAATGAAGTAATAGGAAGTAGGGAAAGGAGGGGAGGAAGTGAGTGAGAGGAAATGTTAAAGCTGGGAGACGGCACTTGGTAGGGAAGGGGACCTCTGTGGCAGGGTGGCACCTCCATGGGGGATGGCACCCACGTGTGGGGGTGGTACCTCCAAAAAGATCAGGACCTCCACATACAGTTTTCTATATACTTTTATGAATGTTTGAAATTCTGCCTCCCCCCAATTTTTTTTTTGAAAAGTAGAACCGAGATTTAAATCTAGGTTTGTCTCATTCCAAAGATAGTTCTTGCTGAGTTTTCCACTTTCCTTTACAAATAATTTAAAAACTTTACTTACATATCTCCTAATTTCCCCATGATTCATTAGCCAATAATAACAAAATACCTCCCATCCCAATGTTAACCCAATAAAGTATAACTGGCTACCTTTATAGAGGAGACTCACTCTAAAAAAGTTAGATGCAGGGGCGCCTGGGTAGCTCAGTGGGTTAAGCCTCTGCCTTCGGCTCAGGTCATGATCCTGGGCTCCTGGGATGCAGCCCTGCATTGGGCTCTCAGCTCGGCGGGGAGCTTGCTCCTCGCCCCCCTCCGCCTGCCTCTCTGCCTACTTGTGATTTCTGTCTGTCAAATAAACAAATAAAATCTTAAAAAAAAAAGTTAGATGTAAAGTTTCTTATTTTTTCAGATTTTTCCTAATTAAAAATTTGCTACATGAATACAATGGGAAAAATTTCAATGACAAAGATGGTTTTAGGAAAGGTAGAACGGCTCAGTGAGAGGACCGCACCCAGGCGGTCCAGCCCTCCCTGGGCATCTGGAAGCGTGTCAGGCTCGCTGGTGGTCACTGTAGTCCAGGGCACGACTGGATGCCATGGGGGATGCAGGGATGCTGTCTGCTGCCTCCGGTGCTCTCCTGTACACTGAAGACTTCCCTGCTTCAGAAGCCAAGAGAATCCCTGGTGGGAAACCCCGGCTAAGAGGTGACATTTCAACAGAAGAAGGGAGAGGGGGAAGGTTTGTCTGACTGCTTCGCTCGCTAGCTGGAGAGTCACTTAGGAGAAAACACATCACTGCAAGGGAAGCAGCAAGTCGGCACTGCTCCTGCGCTGGTTTCAGACGTGCTTCCTTCTCAGACCACGGAAGCTAACACTCGGTAAGTCTGGCACACAGGCGCTGTCCACAAAAGGCAGTCAACAGCCGCCCTGGGGCCCCCAGAGTCAGGCACAGCAGGGACAGATGAAGGAGGACCTGCGAGGACCTGGAATTTGGGCAAGGTCTCAGGAGGGAGACAATCCTTTTCCTGGTAAAAGACAGCTCCCCCTGGTGGCGCGTCTGGATTTTTACAAGAGCACAAGCCACCCAGTGCCAGTTACTACCTTCAGATCTTCACATCCTCTAATGCCACTTCAGGGGACAGTCCGTCAAAGTTCCCTGCACAGGAACACTGAAGTGAACAGCGAAAACCTAGAGGAGGCAGCACGCAAAGGGCACTGCCAAGAAAAATGACTCAACATCTGGCTCACTGCGGGTGGTAGCAGCAGGACCAGCGGGGCCAATGTGGCAGGAAGTCAGGGTGTGCCCCCAGCTTATTAGCACCTGCGGCAGCGCGAAGGAGTGAGGGCACGTGTGGCAGCAGGAGCCCCAGTCAGCACCTTCCCTTCCTGGGGCTGCCATGGAAAAGACCAAAACCCTGGGATGGGACAGAGGAGAGAAACAGACTGGGAGGCGCAGGGTTCCATGCCTCTGCACGTGCGTCTAAGTGACATTTGCGAGGAAGGAGAGAGGAAAGAAAGGAAAGCATGACTCACAAGGAGGCGCTGGATGATAGGAACAGATAATTTCAGTCTGAGAGGATGATGCAGGAGACAAACACTGTTTGCAACGTTCCTTCTCAAAAGACCCATTATTCCAGATTTTGAAAAGGAATTTCAACAGGTCAAAACAGGGAGACAGAAATAAACAAAAGCCATAAACAGCAGCTGCACTTGGGATCCCAGTATAAGGCCTCGAGCCTTCTGTCATGTCTACTCACACCATTGTATTAGATGGCGCTTTGCACAAAGAGGCAACAAGTGTATCAAAGCACTCTCACCTTTCATGTTTGCAGCATATGCACTGCTACTCACTAAAGTGGAATACGGGTCTTCATTTCCAGGTACGATTCCTGCAGGCATGGTAGTCTGTTGGGGGAAAAAAAAAGAGTAGCTTCTGAGAGTTTGCCTATGGGATGTTCATTTATGCACACACACACACACACACACACACACACACACACGGTGGAGTACTATTCAGCCATTAAAAAAAAAATGAGATCTTGTGCCAAAATTAAGAAACAAAGAGCAAAGAAAAAGAGAGAGAGACAAACCAAGAAACAGGCTCTTAACTACAGACATCACGCTGGTGGTACCAGAGGGGACGTGGGGGAGGGATGGGGTAACAGGTGATGGGGAGTAAGGACCGCCCTTGTCATCATGAGCACTGGGTGATGCATGGAAGTGCTGAATCACTGTATTGTACACTTGAAACTATATAACACTGTGTGTTAACTATTGGAATTAAAATTTAAAACTTAATAGGGCACCTGGTGGCTCAGTCAGTAAAGCGTATGCCTTTAGCTCAGGTCATGATCACAGTCAGGGTCCTGGGATTGAGTCCCACATCAGGGTCATTGCTCAGTGGGGAGCCTGCTTCTGCTTCTGCCTCTACTCCCCCTGCTTATTCTCTCTTTGACAAATAAATAAAATCTTAAAAAAAAAAAAAAAAAGGAGGGTGGCTCAGTGGGTTAAGCCTCTGCCTCTGGCTCAGGTCATGATCTCAAGGTTCTGGGATCGAGCCCTACATTGGGCTCTCTGCTCAGCGGGGAGCCTGCTTCCCCCTCTCTCTCTCTGCCTGCCTCTGCCTACTTGTGATCTCTCTCTCTCTGTGTCAAATAAATAAAATCTTTTAAAAAATAAAATAAAAATATATATATATATTTTAAAAAGGAGAGTTTCTCCAAAGTAACATGTAAATCCCAATTTAATAATAGATAAATGCTATCCCTTTGTTGCAGGCTGACAGTATTGCTAAAATATAATAGTTAATCTAGAAAATTAAAGATGGCCCATCTTAAAGAATATCATATGTAGAGGAGCCTGGGTGGCTCAGTGGGTTAAACCTCTGCCTTTGGCTCAGGTCATGATCTCAGGGTACTGAGATCAAGCCCCACATCAGGCTCTCTGCTCAGCAGGGAGCCCGCTTCCCTCTCTCTTTCCCTCTCCCTGACTCTCTGCCTGCTTGTGATCTCTCTCTCTCTGTCAAATAAATAAAATCTTAAAAAAAAAAAAATCATATGTATCCAAATGTGACTATACTACTATAAAAGTCATCTTAAAAATAGTAAAAGCTCTGTTTATTTGTAAAACATTTACATTTGTATTGTTTAAATATTAAATTTTAATTTAATAAAATAACATGAATATATGCTTTTTATGAAACAGTAATTCTTCTATCCTAGGAAAAGCAGTGGAAAAATGGAGTTTTCTTTAATGGTCTAATTACCTGAGAGCTAATATATGCTTAGACTTAAACTATTCATTTTCAAAGATCTGCGACATCTCATAAACATCGGTTTGGGAAACGGGACTTCCAGACCTTTCAAAGTCTCTGAGTTAAAACAGAAACTCGAAGGCAAGCATCGGTGCACGCTCCTCTTCCTACTCCTTGCAGGTATCACCACCTGCTTTGATCTAAACAGTGTCGCAGCCCCAGCTCCGCTGCCTGACACAGTAAACAGCCCTCCTCTTTGACCAAGCGCCAGCCCCACTCCTGTCCCGTTGCCCCTTCCAGCTTCCTCCAGGAAACCCCCATTACTTAGCCAACAGACCTCAAACACTGACTTTTCTCCCTTATCTCCTCAGACTAACACTCTGCAGCCGGTATGGCATGGCAGCTCGACAGCAGCCTTCATCGTAAGCTAATTTAGTCCCATCACTAACGCGACATCTTTCCGAGGCTTCTACCTGCCTCTCTGCATACCATGAGGCCTTTGTTCCCTGGCTGGTGGGAACATGAGCCACTTCCACCCCTCTGAGAGCCCTGAGAGTGGGACTGTCCACTCCTTCCTATGTTTGTCCCCAGCCTTGGGTAGTGTGCACAGATCAGTCCTCAGTCAAACACCAAGGCTGGCGGAGACTGCAGGCCCTCTGCGCGTGTCCATGGCCCTCTCTGTGCCACCCTCTTCTCCCCAGTGCTCTTCATCTTACCCTGGCTCTCGGCGCATCTCTGAGGAGGCTCCCTCTAGGTCTCCTCCCATGCGGCAGCCTGGAAACTGCTTCCAGGGAGGCAGACAGTGCAATCTTGGGCTCACCATGTCTTTTCTCTCCTCTCAGGGATCACTGTCCTAAGCTGCCTGCTTTCCACTGTGCAAAACCCCATTTTTATATATTTTGTCTGGTTTTCTAGTTGTTTAAGGCAGAAGTGTAACCCTGGTCTCTGCGGTTTCACTGTGCTTGGAAGCAGAAACCCCTCGGCCTTCTCTGCATAACTGGCATCCATGGGAAGTCTGCGAGTGCTCTCTGCGCATTAACTCTGCACAAAAGCGGGGATGTGTCACCCAGCTGTGGGTAACGGACCAAATACATGCGGCTCTGCTAGGCTAAAGCTGTGGCGAAAGCCACAGTCAGAAGTTCTGCGTTTAAACCTTGACTCTGTTCATTGCCATCTATACAAACCATTTTGAGCTTCAATTTTCTTTTCTGTAAAATGAGGATTATCATATCTTTCTCAGCTTCTTATGAGGATAAAGAACAATTGCGTGTGTATTTCTAGCACAATGTCTGGCATACACGTATCCAATATATTACTGTTATTTTAATTTGCAAACCAGTATCAGAGTATTTTGTAAAACTTTGTAAAGTAGTCCCTTGACTACCTAGAAAACAGTCCTGCTGGTAGTTAGTAATGGTTGACTTTCTCAAGAAGATTTACGAAACATTAACTTCATTCACAACTGAATTCATTTCATGTGCCTGGTTGCAGAGTCAGGAGAAACGGGGTTTGAACAGTAATCCTGTCATTTCACTGCACGATCATCTTCTTTAATTTCATTTCCTGCTGCTAATGACAGATATTTTGCTCGCTCTATCCTACAATTTGCTTTCATCCCAAGATGTTCCTCAAAATGACTCAACATTTAGGATTAATCACAGGCTCACTAATTAGTACCCAGTACTTAAAACTCAGAACAGGAATGGACGATCACTCCTACTGTAGAGTCATCACGAAGTAAGAGTTTCACAAAAAGAATGTTCTCCTTCATAAAAAAGCCATTTCACACGAGAGACAGGCTCTGCAGTGACCTGAGGAGTTCTGAGGACACTGCCTTCCCTTCCCCCTTCCAGACAAAAAGCCTGCACATGTACTTTTGGGGGTAGCGGGTGGGGACTGTGTTAGACATGCCTGCAGTGAGGCGGGAAGCAGCCTCTTTCCGGGGTGTGCAGATCACTTGCGCTCCACAGCCATCAGGGTCAAGATGTCTGAGGTGGGACATCTGGGAAGGAGTCAACCTGCCCTCCACCTCCTCCTGCTGCAAGAGGCCCTCTGCCCACATTAAAGACACAGGCCAACGGGATTACTTTCTACATGGCAATCGTGGTAGAAGAATTTGAGGTTGAAAAATTTAAGTTTGTATGGGCAAAAATAGAGATCTCCAAGTATGTGAGTGAACTTATGAAAGCTATATACTTTTATGTCCACAAATAATATATTAATAATAACTATAACACATAAGCTTACTCCAGGCCAGGCACTGTTCCAAGTCCCTTCTTTGCCTTACTCATAATCCTCACCACACCACTATGTGGTGAGTACTACTATTATTCCAATTAAAAAAGAAAACAGACGGTGTATTTTTAGAGCAGTTTTAGGTTCATAGCAAAACTAAGTGGATTCCTCTGTACCCTTTGTCCCACCCCAACATGCACAGGCCCCCTCACCATCAACCCTCACACCCGACAGCACACTGGTCACAGCGGATGAGCCCACACAGACACATTCGTCATTACCCACAGTCCGCAGTTTACCTTAGGGAGCACTCTTGGTGCTAGATATCTTATGGGATGTGGATAAATGTATAAGGACATGTATCTGTCATTACAGAGAATTTCTGCTGCTCAGTCATCCCCTTCTCTGCCCCATGCCAACAACTCCTGATCTGTTCACTGTCTCTACAGATTGGCCTTTTCCAGAATGTCAAATTAACGGAATCATGGTATGTCACCTTTTCAGATTAGCAACTTTCACTTAGTGATATGCATTTCAGGTTTCTACACATCTTCATGGCCTGGCAGTCAATTTCTTCTTAGTGCTGGATAGTAGTCTATTATCTAGAGGAATCACAGTTTAGTTACCAGTCACTTGCTGAAAGACATCGGACTTGCTTCCAAGGCTTTGCTGTTATGAATGAAGCTGTTGTGCGCATTCACGTGCGGGTGCGGGTGTGCGCACAGGTCTTTCAGCTCCTACGGGAACACCAAGGAGCATGACTGCTGGACCACGTGGTAAAAATGTGGTTAGTTTCATACATTATTCCCATTTTATGGATTAGAAAATGAAGGCAAAGAGAAGTCAAATAATTTGCCTACAGTCACACAGCTGTTAGATAGTGGAGCCGGGCTCTGAATTCACACCATTCGCTCCGGAATCTGTGCTCTCCACCACCACACACACGGTCTCTCAACAGGAAAGACTCAAACTCGATAAAAGAAATTTCAGTATCACTGTATGCATTTTAATTCTGCTACACTGATAATTCCTTAGCTTGCAAGAAACTTTTCAGACCTCTCTATCCACAGCAAGATTTTCAATTTGTTTTGCTTTGTGCACTTTGTTAATCCTTTATCCAAATCTTAATTCACTGCTGCCCCAAAGACAAGTGTCAAGAACAAACTTCCTTTACATATTTTGGCCTCCTCCTCCTTCTAACAGAAATGCAGCTGGTCTGACTGTATGGTCATGAATCCACACACGCATGGACAGAGCTGTTGGCACTTATCAGCTCTACGATCCGAAGCACATTTGCCAACATCTCTGAGCCTCACATCTGCCCACAGTCATTGCAAAGATGACCTGCAAGCCCACGTACAGACTCATTCTGGGCCTGATCGTATGGAATTCAGCCTCTCCTCAACAGAGCAGCCAG